TCAGGTGTGCTCTTAGTAAAATCCTGATGCTGGCGATCTGGTTCCGAGCGAGGTGGGGACGGGGAGCGCTCGCGAAGAACAAACGGAGAGAGAGTGGTTGCTGAGACACAACGGCGTGCACTCGTTTATTACGACTCAGGTGTGCTCTTAGTAAAATCCTGATGCTGGTAATCTGGTTCCGAGCGAGGTGGGGACGGGGAGCGCTCGCGAAGAACAAACGGCGAGAAAGTGCTTGCTGAGACACAACGGCGTGCACTCGTTCATTACGACTCAGGTGTGCTTTCAGTAAAATCCTGATGCTGGCGATCTGGTTCCGAGCGGGGTGGGGACGGGGAGCGCTCGCGAAGAACAAGCGGAGAGAGAGTGGTTGCTGAGACACAACGGCGTGCACTCGTTTATTACGACTCAGGTGTGCTTTCAGTAAAATCCTGATGCTGGCGATCTGGTTCCGAGCGGGGTGGGGACGGGGAGCGCTCGCGAAGAACAAACGGAGAGAGAGTGCTTGCTGAGACACAACGGCGTGCACTCGTTCATTACGACTCAGGTGTGCTTTCAGTAAAATCCTGATGCTGGCGATCTGGTTCCGAGCGGGGTGGGGACGGGGAGCGCTCGCGAAGAACAAGCGGAGAGAGAGTGGTTGCTGAGACACAACGGCGTGCACTCGTTTATTACGACTCAGGTGTGCTTTCAGTAAAATCCTGATGCTGGCGATCTGGTTCCGAGCGGGGTGGGGACGGGGAGCGCTCGCGAAGAACAAACGGCGAGAGAGTGCTTGCTGAGACACAACGGCGTGCACTCGTTTATTACGACTCAGGTGTGCTCTTAGTAAAATCCTGATGCTGGCGATCTGGTTCCGAGCGGGGTGGGGACGGGGAGCGCTCGCGAAGAACAAGCGGAGAGAGAGTGGTTGCTGAGACACAACGGCGTGCACTCGTTTATTACGACTCAGGTGTGCTTTCAGTAAAATCCTGATGCTGGCGATCTGGTTCCGAGCGGGGTGGGGACGGGGAGCGCTCGCGAAGAACAAACGGAGAGAGAGTGCTTGCTGAGACACAACGGCGTGCACTCGTTTATTACGACTCAGGTGTGCTCTTAGTAAAATCCTGATGCTGGCGATCTGGTTCCGAGCGGGGTGGGGACGGGGAGCGCTCGCGAAGAACAAGCGGAGAGAGAGTGGTTGCTGAGACACAACGGCGTGCACTCGTTCATTACGACTCAGGTGTGCTTTCAGTAAAATCCTGATGCTGGCGATCTGGTTCCGAGCGGGGTGGGGACGGGGAGCGCTCGCGAAGAACAAACGGCGAGAGAGTGCTTGCTGAGACACAACGGCGTGCACTCGTTCATTACGACTCAGGTGTGCTTTCAGTAAAATCCTGATGCTGGCGATCTGGTTCCGAGCGGGGTGGGGACGGGGAGCGCTCGCGAAGAACAAGCGGAGAGAGAGTGGTTGCTGAGACACAACGGCGTGCACTCGTTTATTACGACTCAGGTGTGCTTTCAGTAAAATCCTGATGCTGGCGATCTGGTTCCGAGCGGGGTGGGGACGGGGAGCGCTCGCGAAGAACAAACGGCGAGAGAGTGCTTGCTGAGACACAACGGCGTGCACTCGTTCATTACGACTCAGGTGTGCTTTCAGTAAAATCCTGATGCTGGCGATCTGGTTCCGAGCGGGGTGGGGACGGGGAGCGCTCGCGAAGAACAAACGGAGAGAGAGTGGTTGCTGAGACACAACGGCGTGCACTCGTTTATTACGACTCAGGTGTGCTTTCAGTAAAATCCTGATGCTGGCGATCTGGTTCCGAGCGAGGTGGGGACGGGGAGCGCTCGCGAAGTACAAACGGAGAGAGAGTGGTTGCTGAGACACAACGGCGTGCACTCGTTTATTACGACTCAGGTGTGCTCTTAGTAAAATCCTGATGCTGGTAATCTGGTTCCGAGCGAGGTGGGGACGGGGAGCGGTCGCGAAGAACAAACGGCGAGAGAGTGCTTGCTGAGACACAACGGCGTGCACTCGTTCATTACGACTCAGGTGTGCTTTCAGTAAAATCCTGATGCTGGCGATCTGGTTCCGAGCGGGGTGGGGACGGGGAGCGCTCGCGAAGAACAAACGGAGAGAGAGTGCTTGCTGAGACACAACGGCGTGCACTCGTTTATTACGACTCAGGTGTGCTCTTAGTAAAATCCTGATGCTGGCGATCTGGTTCCGAGCGAGGTGGGGACGGGGAGCGCTCGCGAAGTACAAACGGAGAGAGAGTGCTTGCTGAGACACAACGGCGTGCACTCGTTTATTACGACTCAGGTGTGCTCTTAGTAAAATCCTGATGCTGGTGATCTGGTTCCGAGCGAGGTGGGGACGGGGAGCGGTCGCGAAGAACAAACGGCGAGAGAGTGCTTGCTGAGACACAACGGCGTGCACTCGTTCATTACGACTCAGGTGTGCTTTCAGTAAAATCCTGATGCTGGCGATCTGGTTCCGAGCGGGGTGGGGACGGGGAGCGCTCGCGAAGAACAAACGGAGAGAGAGTGGTTGCTGAGACACAACGGCGTGCACTCGTTTATTACGACTCAGGTGTGCTCTTAGTAAAATCCTGATGCTGGCGATCTGGTTCCGAGCGAGGTGGGGACGGGGAGCGCTCGCGAAGAACAAACGGAGAGAGAGTGGTTGCTGAGACACAACGGCGTGCACTCGTTTCTTACGACTCAACACGAATCACAGGACAGACGGAAAAACTGGTACGCTTTCACAATGTCGAAACAGCGAACACGGAAAATTTGTTTCGCTGAGGCCAAGAACCAGGCGAAATGCAGAAGTGCTAGCCCCAGGCAAAGAACAGGGGGTACAACCGCTACCAAGTCCTCTAAGCAGTGTGGTAGGTATCAGCTGTGCCGGGCTCATGCTTCGTAATAACGTATGTGCCTGTCGTCAGGTGCCCACCACAATCTATTTTCCTGAGCTTTCCAAATACCCATCCTGCCCTGTTTCAAGGGGAGCAGCCTCTGATATCAATTGACCGTCTTTTAGCTTTTCTGGAAACTATAGACATTTGATACCAAGTATAGCGCGATTTGTTTCTAAGTGCACCCTTTCTAGTGACTTAGAAATGATTGCGCAGTCTGAACGAGTCCGAAAAGGACGCGTGTCCTTTTCGGACTCGTTCAGACGGCGCAACCATTTCGCGAAACTACGTTTCGCGACACTAGATACGCGAGAAAAATGCATCGTGTGAACGGGTCTTAATGCACCGAGTGACCAAAACAGCAGCAGTAATGGAAGAACTCACGAGATAGGCTTTCTCCACGTATCTCCACTCTAGGGGGCTGGATGGCGCATAGCTGCTCTCCGAGCCTGGCGCAAATGAAGCCACCGGATGTTCGATGCTTGTCCCGGAAGTCGGGCGTATGCTGGGCTTCCTAGTGCATTCAGACGATACATGGGTCCATGATCTTTTGTGTCTTTGATAATGTTTTAATACTCCCGTTCTTAATGAAATCCTGAGAATAAGGCATTTGAACGTGGGACATATGCACACTTCATCAACTGGAATATCAAAATGACATCGAATGGCTTCTGAGAAGACTTGCCGGGTCCGCATGCGCTGTTACTCCGCAACAAGTAGGCTCTCTTGGGATAACAAGAAGAAAATCGAGCGCTCTGAACGCTGCTCGATTCAGCACTCGGAAGAGTTGAAAAGTCTGTCAAGCATTTACTTCCGGGTCAAGCCGCTTACTTCCGGTGGCTTCATACCTGTCAGCCATCCAGCCCACTATAGTTGAGGTCAGTGGCTTTATCAGGGCGTTCACATCGTTCCCTATTTCTGTCTTAAATGGTGAAGCGGCGCACCCTTGTGATCATACCTGGCAAACGGCGATTGGACAGGCATTATCAGTATACAGGAGGGTATATGGTTGGAGTCTTCAAACAGCTCCATCAGGAACCCGTATAGTTTTCCGCATTACATTTAAATGTTTTTCCTATTAGTACTTGTAGCTCCAAATCACTCTAAACGTCGACCATATCGAAAGCGGTTTACCGCCAAAGACAGCAGTCCTAATGTAAATAACTGTACTTTGAATATTATGGAAGGCAGAGGCTGATGGGAAAATGTAAAATAGAAATGTTCAACTGCCCAAATGCAGTAATAAATGTTACATTTCGGTAAGGGCCACAACATAAACAAAACATATAAATAAAAGGAGAAATTCTTACCGTTTCGTAGTCCACCCGGTTTTTCCAGCTCGGAACCCAACCTGGTTGAAGAGTCGCCCTCTATCACCAGTGAGTAGTTACGCCGCAGCTCCGCGATGCGCTGAGGGAAGGTTTTCAGCTTGTGCGACAACTTGGCTGCGGGTCTGCACGAGGAGGCCAGGAGGCGGCACGCGCTCTCTTGTGCACTGCCGCCTGCGTCCCGTGGACTACAGAGGAAAGCGCGAAACACATGTACGACGAAACCGTCCAATCCGACGTCCGATCAGGCAATACGACGGTCGGAGGCGAGACTTTTCGACGCTCTCCGGTGCTACGAAAACCCTCTCCCCCCAAGGTCATTCCGGCAGTTCGCACGTCGGATCGAACGGTCTCGTCGTACATGTTTAATGGTGGCGTCACGCATGCGTCAAAAGTTTAGTGAATCAATCTGATCGCGATTAAAGATAGGATCCATTCATCGTAATGTTAACCGACCATTCGTCCGGCCTTATTTAAATTAATTAGATTACTAATTAACGTGGATATTTAATCATTTTTCTGCTGTTTCAATAATGCGTAATTTGATGCACTGTACAAGTAGCTTAGGATGACCCGTGAAATAATCAAGTGACCTTACAATGAATTAATGAATAGTAACTTTTGAATACTGACGAAATATGTAGTTGTGTAGTGATCAATTAATCAAAACTTCTAAACGGGGAGACTCATTTATCTAATACAATTTTCCAGTAACGCGTATAAAACTGCACGTCCCTTTAAATATGTACACACTAAAGCAAAAGAGTAATTTTTGGTCAACCTTTATTTATGCTCCAAGCGTACATTGAACAACAAACCAGATGGTGCTAATTGAATAAGGTGGTAGAGGGATATTAGCAGGGCATGTACCACTTCGCACGATGGATGTCCTGCATAATATAAGAAACGTAGGGAAGAGTTAGTGGGACCAGAATGAACTGTTGCACGAAAGCGTGTCACCATTGACTAGAGTAACAATCCAGATAAAATATTCGCAGCAGAGTCTTTTGAAACAGCTTTTGGAATTGCACATATACAAAGCCCTTGCTACGCACAGGGTGGATGACAGTCACAACGTTTGTCGTTATGTACAAACTTAGCACATGTTATCTGTTGGTTGAAAGCGACGCGTTAACACACTGCATGTCTCATAGAATACGCTGTGATGAACGAAGACATGTCCGTGATTAAACGAACCGCCGACTCAACACATCCTGAGGCTGTGTAATACTCTGAAGTGAAAGGGGGCTGTAGAAATCGAGAGCGTACGACATGAGAGTGCTGTGACAGGAACGTGTGTACAATTAGAGCGCGCAACGCGAGAGCGCAACACGAGAGCGCAACACGAGAGCGCAACACGAGAGCGCATGGACACACAATGCTTCGGGGATGCATGATATCGCGATTGCCGATACCTAAAGCCGCGCTCGCACTGCTAATACATAATACAAAAGACACTGTCTTTCTTCCGTGCATGATGCTCCTGTCACATTGACTTGTTCTTGGAATTATACAAAATTAAACATGCTCTGAACATGCAGCAAACCGCACATGTTATGTCTTCAGTCATTTGAATTATGTATGAGCAGTGGGACACTGGCTTAATTACTCACTATTCGACTAAGACCTTCAAAAGGTTTTGACGAAGGGATTTGTTTTTCATTTGGAGTCGACGGCCTGGTCAGTTGACAGAGTCTGCTCATATCGTGTATATATTTTGGAAAATATACTCCTATATGTTAGCGTGCAAAATTGCTTTGGGGGTATTTTCTACCGCTTTCCGACAAAAATTTAATGTGGCAAAAAAAAAAAAAAACTTTACATGTTATGGTCATTACTCAATTTTGACGCCGACTAGAAAAAAAAAGAAGCTAAATTCGGCAATTATTCTTACAATCTGCTTGCCCTGCACGGGCGAATGGAAGGGGAAAAAAGGATCCTGACCAAAATGGTCCAGTACAAGATGGCTCCAGATTTAATGGCGTATTGTGATAAATCTTTCAGGCCATGGACGGATTCGGTCATCTTTCTGACGTGCTTTACGATTTTGTCATGCATGTCGCAGCTGTCGCCGGTACTAAACCCTTCTAGCGACCCAGCTGCCGCCCCCGTTAGCGCCTTTGTGTCCCGCGCGCCCTATTGGCATCCGCTCTCGTGTCACGGCGCTCTTGTTTCGTGCGCTCTTGCTTTGGCACTCTCCTTTTGTGCGCTCTCGGGGCGCTTTCCTTTCAAAGGGACACTGAGGCCCCTTTTTACGTATTTATTCGATCAACCCGCTTATTTTCGTGAGATGGCTCAGGAATTTAAATTATTCTTCATACATCTAAAACTGAACTTTTGTTTGTTTGTCTTCGAAAAATTAAGCAAAAATATTGACGCGGAACACAACTTTTTTGTCTTCTTTCTTATCTGATCGTTACAAAATCTGCCACTACGATATCAGAATTGAATGAGGTCGGTCGAAAGGTTTTCGGCAGCGTGAATTGCCAGGCTCTTTGTATCTCCAGCGTGACTAGAGAGCAGCCAAAGTCACTCTGAAAACCACAAACTTGGGCCTGTAGAATGTTTCTTAATGTATCCTCTTCTCCCCTGTGCCCCCCCCCCCCCTCTCCCGTCCTCCACCCGCGACACATACACGCGTAATTCCAATGCCGTATAAACCTGCCCCTCTTAATCGCAGAGCGCCTCTAAAGTCACTGGATCGTGGGAATGTAGCGCCAAGCTCCCCTTCTGATCGGCATTTTGGCTCATGAAATGAGCAATTTCACCTTTACCTCTCCGTGTTCGGTGAGCCGATCTAGATTAGGTGGTGACGGGTAGCTTTATAGACAGGTTTATTGTATACCAAGATTTTGCTATCCATACACCGGCGAAACAAGCGTACATTTGCGTACCACCACCACATCCGGTGTCGGTGCTTGGAAACATTGAAAAATAGTCTTTCTGTTATGAAATACGCAAGAAGAACAATATAAGAGTAAAAGATTTGTGGAGATGGGCGTGATTAATAAGTTGATTGCATACACAGTGCCAAAGACGCTTCTATTGGCGAGGAATGCCTTCAGTACGATGATGCTCCAGGTGATTTTTGTGCGACTGGATTGGAACGACCCTCTCGATGCTTCGATGATTTGAAGGAGCCGAAATGGCGATCGCCATAGCAACGGAGACCGATTAACCAATCCCCTTGCGAGGTTTTCGTCATCTGTCTAGCAGACAGAGAAGGCTAGCGCTACTTTTCCAGGATCCAAAGACTTTTAGCGCCTTCAGATCGTAGTCCCACACAACATTTTAAGTACCTGTTGAAATATAATTTACGTAGATATCCATCGTTAATGGTAAACTAAAAATGCACTTAAATATTTCCTTAGAATGATTCGCAGAGCTAACCCAGACAGCTCTCCAGTTATTGCACACGTGTGACATCGGTAAATACCAGGCGAAACGTATTAGTTAAGAACTCGCGAGGAGCCTATAAAATTCAACACACATTCCTGAAATTACAGAAAAAAGAATTGTACTAATCCTGTCATTGTATATACAGATCTACAGAGGCGCCTCTTGCACCTGCGTACGGGCGCATGTTGGATTGCAAAAGGCGCACTTTATCAGATACGGCAGCAGCGTATAAGAAAGAGAGAAACACACATTGAGATATCAACAAGAAACACCGAGTCAAAAATTTCCCGCCAGTTTTGATGCCAAGACAAACGCTACCTTCACAAGCAAAAACAACATAAACACACGAAACCTTTTGCACCGGCCTGGCCTTGAAAATTCAGCTAGTGGAATATATTCCACTTGAAAGAGATGATCTCTTTGCATGGATAAATACAATTATCCTTCGTTAAAGAAAACTACATCAGGTTTTGAGACAATGTGAAACGTTTTTGAGCAAGTCAAAATGCCAAGTGTTTTGATACATCCAAGATAGCGTATCTGCACGATGCCCTTTGCTCTTTGTCTCTATAACAAATAGATAAACCTCTGTCTTATTGCGAAGCACAAGACATTCAGGAAGTAAGGTATTTCTTTCACTGCGTCTCGTGTCTGCTGTGATTGAGTCGAATTGTATTTCATAGCAATATCAGCTGGTAAATTGGGAGTGATTCAAACACGCCGTTTACAGCAGTGCTTTTAGGGCAGTAAATGCTAACTTTATGCGATTGCACCTGTATAAAATATTAAGAAGAATTTGCTTCACAACATCTACAAATTCACCAGCGAATTTTATCATCACGGCTTAGAAAGCGTTGAGGGTGATTGTACCTGATGAAGGAAAGGGACGCACCGTTGTTATGCCAGTCTAATATACTGAGAACGGCTGACCGTCGACAATTTAATGCAGTTTACTGACTATCTTTTTCGTTGTACAAAATGTTCTGCACTAAACTGCACTACTCCATTCTGTCTTGCTTTGACAATCACTTTTTATGGGTCCGTGGCACTTTATTCACCTACACTTACGTTGATTCAGTACTTCGAGGGTCTACAACAACTCTCCCAACATTGGGTCAAATTCTAGTCCTCTAATCAGCATTTGGTAAACTCATTTGCTTTAACGCGCAAGGTACAGGGTGAGCTCACCTGGCATTCAGCACAAGCATATAAGCAGCATGTGGCACGTACGCATAACAAAAAAGGGCTTCGTTTCCAGAGACTGTCCCTGTCAAAGCAATAACGCACAACACAAGATGGAGAGTGTCATGTTTGAAGGAAATTCCCTGTGGGCCTTCAAAAAAGCAGCAGCGTTGAAAAGGCCCAGCGTAAAGTCACAGCTGTTTCTCCATGTTGCAGTGCTCACAGCTCCTCCTTGGAGTCGTTGGACACGTGTAACCTGACGGTGTCCGTCTCGCATACGTAGTGAACAGCAGGAGCTGGGGGCGTGGTGCGAGATGCTGAAGTGTCGTCGGTGGCCGGCTGCTGCGATGGCGGCTGGGAGGCGAGAGGCACGAACGACTCCTGGACCTCTTCGCGCCCGTTGCAACAGGTGCGGTCTGGCTTGGAGCTGTTGGTGCGACGAGCGGGTGCACTAGCGCTAAAGCAGGGCAGCACCAGCTTGAACTCCTTGCGGAAGTTCTCGTTGAGCCAGGTGTATAAGAAAGGGTTGTAACAGGTCGAGCTCATGGCGACGGCATGGGAGAGAAAGAAGAACGCGTTGGCGTATTTCCAGCTTGCAGCTTGAATAAAGAAGTCCATGACGAGATTGTATAAGTTGAGGGGTAGCCAGGAGGCGCCGAAGATGACCACCATCGAGATGAGCATGCGATTGGTGCGTCTAGTCCGTTTGCGCTCAAGCTCCTCTTTCTTGACCGACTTGGCGCCAGGCTTGGCACGTGCGCGGTCGCGAAGCTTGCAGCAGACGCGCATGTAGCAAAAACTGATTATACCGAAAGGAACAACAAACTGCAGAGTGCTTGTCGAAAAGCTGAAGGTGCGACGACTCTCTTCGCCTGGCCACTTCTCTTCGCAGTAGTGTCGTCGACCGTCATCTGGATCCGGAGTAAGGTGCATAAAGATGCCGTAGGGCAGAGTCAGCAAGGCTCCGGTCAACCAGATGCAAACAATGATCATGAAACATACTTTTATTTGGAGCCGCGGCTTGAACGGGTAAATGATCACGAAGAATCGGTCGATGGCGATGGCCATAAGGGTGAAGGAGGAGATGTAGACGCTGACGCCCTGCGCGTAGGGGACCAGGTGGCACAGTACTCGGCCAAACACCCACTTGCGCATAAACTGATATAGTGGCGTGAAAGGAACGGCCAGCGTGCAAAGAAGAATGTCCGAGAGCCCCAAGTTCGTAATGAAGAAGTTGGTCACGGTCTGCATGGACTTGTTTCGGAATACGACATAACACACGAGCACGTTACCGCAAATGCCCACGACAAAAATCAAGATGTATATGCAGTAGAAGAAAGCTTTCACGGCGGGAATGCTCGTTATGTAATCATTGATTACTGAGACGTGATAACTTGTCACGTTGTGAAATTGGCTGCTCGTATTTTCTGCCTCCAGGCTCAGATTCTCCAAGCTGGACGCCAGCGGAAACTGCAGAAGTACGTTCATGTTGAGCCCCGGCACTACCGGAAGCGCCATTTCTGGCGCCTTTTTCCAAGAGGGCACTTCCTAGGGGCTGGGGATGTTTTCAATTTGGAACTGTACGATTTTTACGTCACCGGCTGATCCGACATCTGCAAGAAAACAAGATCAGTTAAAATTTGAATCGACAAACTACACATCATTAGTAGTACATTGGGCTGCTTCACTCTTTTCAAGCCATGCAAGCAGCCACAACAGATGCGAAGCCCGCAAGCTTGCCATGCTGACATCTGGGGGTAGTTGCACGTTGGGATGCGTTGGAACCGTGCTGATATGAAATATGTGATTACTTTATCCTCATGAAAAGCTACACTTTTATATGGCGGTGAGGAGTACCGCGTGGCTCTCGGTGTCAATGGGTAGCTCAAGGAGGACGACCTCTGGACCAGACGATGCAACGTAGCGAGCACACGTAGCTTGGCTGGATCTACGTTCACTGAACAGGTCACTACGAGACTTGTTCCGAGTCGTTATTGTTTCTTGAACGGTGTTCGTGTCACGACCGTTCAAGGTGCGTTCCAGTTTGGTGGCGTTGTCGGCCGCCCTTTCTGCGGCAAGATGTGGCGAAATGAACCCCGGTAGAACCAGCTTGAACTCCTTTCGAAAGTTTTCATTGAGCCAGGCGTACAAGAAAGGATTGTAACACGTTGAGCTCATGGCAATCGCGTGCGACAGAAAGAAAAAGGCATTGGAGTAGGGCCACTTGGAGGCCGGAATGTAGAAGTCAGCCACCAGATTGTACAAGTTGAGAGGCATCCACGAGACAGCGAAGATGAGCACCATGGAAATGAGCATGCGGTTTGTCCGCCTCGTCCGCTTCCGCTCCATTTCCTTGAGTGAGCGTGCCCCTGGCTTAGCGCGCACCCGGTCTTGCAAGCGACAGCAAACGCGCACGTAGCAAAAGGTGACAATGCTCAACGGCACCAAGAACTGAAGCGTGGTGGTGAGCGAGCTGAAGGTCTTCCGGTTTACCTCGGAGGGCCACTCCTCCTCACAGTAGTATCGTTTCCCGTTCTGTGGATCTTGGATGAGGCCCATGAAGATACCGTAGGGTAACGTCAGCAAGGCACTGCTCACCCACACGCTGACGATGATTGTGAAGCAAACTGAGAGCCGCATTCGAGGTCGGAAGGGGTAGATGACCACAAAAAATCTGTCGATGGCGATGGCCATGAGCGTGAAGGCGGAGATGTATACGCTAACACCCTGCGCGTAGGGGACAAGGTGACACAGCAGACTTCCGAAGGCCCATGTCGTCATGAAGTGGTACAGAGGCGTGAAGGGCACCGCAAGCGCACACAGCAGGATGTCCGAGAGTGCCAGATTGGCGATAAAAATGTTGGTGACGGTTTGCATGGAGTTTTTGTGGAAGACGACAAAGCAGACGAGGATGTTGCCACATATTCCGGTCACAAAAATGAGCACGTAGATGCAGTAGAAGAAGGCGCGCACAGCAGGGATGCTTGTGATGTACATGTAATCATAGCCGGAGAAGACATCCATGTCCACCACGCTGCTGTAGTTGAGTCCACTGGCCGAGCCATTGAGCACGAGAAAGGTTGCGTTCATCTGGCGTAGCCTGGGGACGTGCTCGAACGTCCGCCTGATATGCAATCCAGCTTCAACAGGCACTGACATGACTTGGTGAGTTTGCAAGCGTGTCTGCCATCAAAAAGCGGCGACATGTGCAAGCCAGGAAGCGGAGCAGGCAGTCACCAGTCAGCCGCCATAGCATCTGCGGGATTGAACAAGCTTGGGTTAACTGGCTCTTTGGGCTTCGTGCGCGACACTCACATCCACGTTCCGTATTTATTCGAACCGGTCTCTGGGTCTCCGCTTTCTTCTTGTGACACTGACGGCGCCGTCTTCTTCGTGCCGACGCAACAAGAGCCGATGAAACCACTGTGAATCGAGGGCTAACGAGTGTAATGCTCCTCTTACTGTTCGGACGCAATCGGGCCAAGGGAGGTCCGGACAGGTTTTGCGTGTTAGGATCTCTTGGGGTCTGGTCTACAAATTTTCTTAGGGATCAGAGTGGCTCGAATAAATACGGCAAGCACAATATTCATTCGGGAACACAAAACACTACAGACGTAAACAAACGCCGGCATGCAGTTTGCGTAATGAGGCAGATCGATCAAGTGCAGCAGGCTTTGCATGGGCATGTGTGAGTTTTGGTTTAATTTATACATTAACCTTATATTAACATAACAACCAAACAACAGGTTGAAAAGGGCAATACTGGCGTACTATCATGCTGATGGGGGCTTTTGGCAGTCGAAGCAAGCGGAAATGCGCATGCAACATAAAATAAAGCGCACCGCAGCGTTGGCTATACGCGCGAGCTCCTTGCTCAAGGACGCACCTCGGCTATATGAACTGGCGCACAGGCGAAGCAACTGCTAAAGCTATGAGTCGAGATTCTAAAGAGAATACGTTGTGTTCAATTGACAATGCATTCTTGAGCTGTCACAAAAATGCCATTTGGCGCGTCATAGAACATTGCATTCAACAATACCATTGACTGTGTCCCTTCTATGATGAATCGAAGATGAAACATTCATCCCCGAATAGAGCGTTCAAAAATCAGATACACGATCAGAGACGCGGTAACCGCATTGGAATCGCCATTGTATTTAGTCTGAGACATCACTCTACGACATGTCATCTTACCCGAGGTTTTCACAGCTCCCAAGGTAAACGCGACAGCGGTCGTTTTGGGTACAAGACGATCCCCCAAGACCTTCCCCAATCTTATATAATGTCCTCAGTGTAGATCCTTGAAAAGCAAAGTGGAAGAAAATCATTATTTTATTGATATCAGATTTGTTTGATTAAAATCAAATTTATTTGGTATAATTCAGATAAATTTGGTTTAAAACACTAGCCTGTGGGAATTATTCCCATACTTCCATGTGATTATGATCGAGTTATCTTTGCCTCATCGCGTCGTCGCACGCGAGCATTTTTGAGACCGGATAACCCGTTTTCCCTCTCCCTCCAATTCTCCTCTCTCGCATCCCATTTAGGGAAGTCTTTTTCTCCTCCATCGAAAAACCGGTCAGCGCGGTGGAACTGGTCCTCCTGCCCCTGAGAAGTTACTCAAAAAGAGTAATTAAGTTAAGTTACTGAGTGTTGGCTTTAAAAGTCATTCAAGTAGATTAGAAATTGCTCAAATGGAAAGTGATTGAGTAAATTACTAACTACCGTAAAGTACCGATTTACTTTTAGAGATACTTTTATATTTTTTATAGTAAAAAGAAAGTACTTAAATATTTTGATTCGTCAGCGAAATTCTGCTAGCCAAATATAAAGCGGCTTGTGTTTTCACATAAATGCTGAAACAGCTGGTTCCGCTCCTGTGTGATTAATTGTTTTGTACTTTTTGTTTTCTGGTCAATGGTGTACTGCGGATGTATCTTTTCTACTTTGAGGTTTAGCACTGCCTGAGCTTGATTTTGCAGACAGTGTTTGCTTGTTTACAGTGTTGCGTAAAGTAGATCTAAAACGTACTTGAAGTAAAGTGCAAAGTTGATTAGAGGTTATATACATTAAGTATCGTAAGTACACCAGGTGCAATCTACTTGAAGTAAACTACTATAAATACAACATACTTTTAAAGTAAAGTACAAATACTTTTTAACACAATCTTTCTTGATTCCCTTTCAACCCTATTTTTTTACATTCTTTTATCTGGTGTGCATTGCTTCAGGGGTAATCGGAGGAGCACCATTTTTTTTTTCGGAAATGGCGGAAAATGTTGGATAAAGTCAAGTCGCCACGGCGTAGTGTTTGCACGACTGTAACGCGCACTTTGTTTCGCCAAAATCGGCCTCCAAAGATACAGGCGCGTTAAAGTCGAAACCGAAACTCAAAAATAAAAACGCAATACTCGGTATAAGGTGGCTAGCCCCATCGTCATTGTGACCGTTTGTATACATATCAAGGGGGGGGGGGGGGGAGGGAAAGGGAACGCGGCGCAAAGTGGGGGCGGCCATATTAAAACCGCCTACGTTGCCAGCATAGGTTTTGCAGCGAAGAAGTTGCTGCCATATACGGCAGACTGAGTATTACTTTCTTCGTTTTAAAAAGAGAATGTATTGTTGAGTTACATAAGTCCTCCTGCATACAGACAACCAAGTTTAATTATATTTGTCTTGTTTACTTGGTTTGAAACCCTAAAAACCGGTTTTTGACGACTTATTGCTTCCATCATTTTGGAGTACGCAAGACAATTATCTCGATGCTCTGGTTTCGGTTACAAAAGCAAGACAAAACCCTCGTAGTTCCCGCCCTCAGTACGGACGCCTTCCACAATTTGATGCCGGATAACTGGATGAACAAGGATTTACATTTATTTCAAAGGTCACTTTCGCCGCTTCCTCAGTGTCGAGCAGCCGGATCAGCTGGCGGCAAGCCGCGGATGGAAGGCTTGAGCATCAACAGCCTAGAGCAGGGGTCTCAAACACGCGGCCCGCGCAAGTGGCCCGTGATTCGCTGGGACGCGGCCCACAGGCAACTGGCTATGAGTCGCGGTTCCCATGTCTCGAGCGCTAGAACAAGCATGCGGCTTCGTGATCTCTTCTCGCTGATTCATTTTCGCTCAAAAAGTAGCTCTGCTCATTTAACGCATTCACATAGTTTATACTTATCTGTGTTTATTTGCCCTATGTTCCGCTTTATTTTTTGCTTCTCAGCTTTTTTGTAATGTACAACTGTTCCGCTACCAGGCCGCAAGCGCGAGCTATTCGTCAAAGGGCGCATCTCGGCTGCGCGAACTTTCGATCAGCCGTAGCAACAGCCAAATATAAAGCTACGAGCTCGAGATCCTCGTCATAAAAAATTGTCACAATTAAAAGACAAGTATTTCTCAGAGTGTTGTAATAAAAATCGTAAGGAAAGCAAGAACTGCCAAATTAACCGATTGTTTTTAGAAATATGTTTAGAGCTCGGGGTACGACAGTGTACTCCTTCCCTTGTTCTATTAAAAATGGCAGCACGTTGGCAGGGGCGGTGTCATTTTAATTCTAGTTATCACATCACGGCAGGGCCCAGAGTATTCATACAACACATGAAAGTGATTGACCGCACTGGCGAAACTGTGATTTTACAAAAAGCATAGAGAGCGAGGTCTCTTCGCTATAAAATTTTATGCCCCCCCCCCTCTCTCTCCCCCGTCTTACGTTGGCTGGCGACCTTTCCGGTGTGGGCTATTTGGCCCCAACACTTCAATGAGTTTGAGACCACTGGCCTAGAGCCACTACAACAGCACAAGTGCACTGAGTGCCGATGCGGGTGATGCGGGCTTCTGTCAACTGGTAGCCCTGCACAAACCGTAAACGTTCCAGCTCTTCGTCATGACACGGTGTTGCAGAAAGCATGGTAAAGTACAACTACACGGACCACCAAATCAAACGCACTGTTATCGTAAATCTTGGCTTGTGATTGCGCCTTTGTAAATCATCTTATTTGTTTTGCTGGAGAGATGCAAACGACGGGCATAACAAAATCGTTTGCATATTCCGCATACCTCGCAAAATCACTTACCCAGTCACCTTGCGAAAAGCGCGAAACACGGAGTCCGCACCGTCCTGACTTACCAGTCTTTTACCTGCTTTATAGCAGTTTGTACCTGCTAGTAGGTATGTCTACTGAAACTGCAACTTGAAATTAGGGCCAATGCCAGAGAAAAAAGACAAAGTTGGGAAAGCTTGTTCGCTCTCCCCAATTTCTCAACTCTCAAGTGATTGTACCATAATAAATTGACCAACACCTCTCCCCAAAATAAAGAATCACTATGTTCAGTACGTAAAAAATGGTCTCAGTTCATGCATCTGTAGGTAGGTAGGAAACGTTGCCCTAATTTATTCACACTGCATGATGAGCGCAACAAACTCACTCGAGATTTACATCAAAATATCGGTGGTGACTTAAGTTTCCCTGAAATTCAGTATAACCGGTCGTTTGCAGGACCGAATCATCTACTCGGGCGGTGTGCGTCGCTGTGCAAACGCAGTCCAACAGCTCTGAGCATAAAAACGGCAGATCTTGGACAACAATCCAGAGTCCATTGTTCCATTAAAACGACGTAATTTTGTTGAAAACGCCCGCAGCTTTTTACTCACGGTATGAGTCGAGAATCTTCCACATTTTAAAAGGGAACGAAAGAAGATTTACTTTTAAAAACGGTTGCTGCGTCCTCCCGGACCAGCTGGATCGGATCAGCTGACGACGACGGGACTAAACCTTTGAACCTCAACCCCACAATAACCAATTTACGCTTATTGTTAGTATGGGATTCTTCCTTCAAGCACCGCACTACGCACCACGAACGTTTCAGCTCTTTCTCGCATCGCCGTGTTGCACCAAACAGAACAAGATCGCCAAAGTCAACGCAGCGCTGTCGTGAACTTTGGCTTGTGGTTGCGCACTCGTGAACCCTGTGACCCTTCGCTTTCAAAGCACACACGACGATTACGAATGATACTTTTCGTTTTTCGGGAACATCACAGGGGCACTTCTCCGGTCATGTCTTCGCTACATGTGCTCGCAAACCGCGTCAAACCAAAACAATACCGGCGCCATGTTGAACGTGCGTCGTTGCTAGATTTTCTGTGACGAAACAAAAACAACGAAAG